TTGATTTGTGACCAAGTATTGGTGGTGGATTGAGATTGGGGGACGGGTGTTTGGGTGTATGTGACCAACTATACGGTTCTCTATGGTTGACTATTAAACTGTGACCAACAAATTTGGAAATGTGATCTCTGTTATCTATAATTTTTTAACTTGTGACCTATAAATTTTTTGATCAGTGACCAATGAAGTCAATTGTGACCTCGAAATAATCTGTGACCAATTAATTTGATAAGTTGAGGTCGAAAATTAATTTTTAAATAATTAATAAGATATCTGTGACCAAAATGCATATAATTGTGACCTTTATTTAAAAAATTTTAAAAACCTGATTTTTGCAACTTTTAAACTTGAAACCTGATTTTTGCATTGGTGAAACTTAAAACTTGATCCATGAATTTTCCCTTAAATATATATAGGTAAGTTTAATTTGGGTCTTCAATTAAAATTTCCAATACAAGTCTATTGGGGCCCATTTAATTTCAACCCATTTAATATATTATTTCTTTCCAAGGTTTCATCTTTGGATTCTGCCATTTTTCACCACTTTTGCATTCTTTTCTTCATTAAATATAAAATTTTACCTACAAAACACAATATAACATAAATTAGGTAGAATTTAATCCAAAAGACAATAAAATATCATAATTTAGGACCACAAATAAGTGTATAAACTACATTTATCAATGAAAAATGTGTGATTGAAAAGAAGAAAGAAAAAAAATGTATTTTGAAAATAATGAGGATCAAAAGTTCTGAAACCTATTAGTGGAATTTGGAAATGCTAAGGGTGTGGTTTCAAGTATACACAAATGAACATCACGAGTCTTTGTGTGATAGAAGATGATTGTTAGTTATATTTTTGAAGAAAGAAGCATTTCTGAGTTACTTTGTGTTTTTACCTTCGTCACCTCATGCCCCTCTTAGACAATTGCTCGCATGTGAGCTTAATAATAGATCAACTTACTTTTAAGCCCCTGTTTGAGACACATTAAAATTTTCATTCTCATTCTTCTATTCATTTTCAACCACATTTTTTCAATAAAATAATATTTTCCATCACATCAATAATTTTTCCTTCTTTTTCAATCACACATTCTCCATCAATCTACTATTTCAANNNNCAAAATATATTCTTCTATAATAATGTTAAGCAAGTTTTGTTGCGAACCATATATGTCCTTAAACTTTCCCTTAACTTCTAAGTAAGATTACTTTTAAACAAGTTTTGTTCTGAAACACGTTTGTCCTTAACTTCTACATAATAATGGAAAAACTTGCATATTTGGAGTGTTTGACTGCTTATTCACATGTATTAGAGTTCTTTTATGATGATTTTGTATTACATACCGAGTTGTTGGGTTTTATCTCCCCAAATCAGAGTTTAATCGACTAGAAATTGGAAAAACCAGCAACAGGTTCTAGAATAACAGCAGAAAACATACACTGTAAATAAAAGATAAATCTACAGAAAGTAAAGAACACAATAACACCAATATATAGACCCAGTTCAGCCAAATTGGCCTAATCAGGGGGCTCAGGCCCAGGGGTAAGCCCTTTTGAATGATTATGCACAACTATCGTCTAGAGAGAATTGTTTACAAATGGTACACAATCAGACTTCTACCAGATTCTAGTCATGGATTGAATGACCTCTTAGAGAATAACTCAGAAATCTAAAAAACCTATCGCCCAAAACACCAACAGGAGCCTAATCGATACAGCTACAGAAACGGCTCAAGGTTCCCGTTACAAGATGATTCCACATTATTTACAGATCTTAAAGATCAAAAAACTCATTAACTGGCAAAGTAATGAAAAATCAGTGCAAAGACTTTATTTAGCGATGGCAGTGGGTCCATTAACAAGATCTGACTCCTAACACCGTAGAAATGTTCATCTAACCCCATGAGGAATTGCATAACCTGATCTTCACACTTGTAATCAATATTATTGACTCATGTCCTGTAATTGTCTAGTTCTTCTCAAAGTCCTTGGAACTGATTGAAATAAGAATTTATTGAACTACTGCCTTGTGAAATTGAGGCAATCTGCTTCTTCAATTCATAGACAGGAAGGTCATTGCTTTGACTATAGCGATCTCGAAGCTCAATCCAAATCTCTCGTGCAGAGTCCTTATGCATTACACTAGAGTATAGCTCTTTGGGAATTGAATTGATGATCCACGAAGAAACTACATGATTACACGTTCTCCACGCACTGTAAAGAGGATCATTCTGAGGAGGTTTGGTTATAGATCTATCTACGAATCCTTCTTTGTTCTTAACGCTGATGCCATAGTTGCCACGCGACTCCACGTCGCATAATTTTCCTCAGCAAGTGTGACTGAAATGAGCTGCACTCCTGTATTATCACTATAATGTAGGTAATACGAACTGCTTGGATCGCTCACCAATTGACTAACAAGAGAAGCTACATCTCCTGCAACTGCATCTCCAGCTCATGAATCGCTGGATGAGTTTTCCTAAACAGATTGATTTCGAACCTCCGCTTGAACACTGGAATTCGCCGCCGTCGCAAGGAAGCCTCACAGTTCTGATACCATGATAAACTGCAGCCAATTCAGTAAGAAGAAGGAGTAATTTGAGAAGTCACAGAGAATTCTAGAAGAAGAGAAGTAGAGAGCAAATGGCGGGAATTTCTGTTTGTTGTATTCTAACTAATTGATTGTACATATCTACATGTACATATATACAGATTTAGCTAATGCA